GACGGGCAGACCCCTCATCTCCCCAATTCCCGAGGGATGGGTGGCCCCGCATCTCCCCGGTTCCCGAGGGCCGCCGGACCCCGCATCTCCCCGGGCAGCAGCGATCCCCTCCTTTCGCCCCTGCGAGCCTCTGAACCCCCTCAAACCCCTCCCGCAGAGCAACGGCTACTGCACCCTGGGCATCGAGGTCACCTACCTGCCCTCCCCGGACGGGCAGCCCCTCTGGATCCTGGGCAACGTTTTCCTGAAGGAATATTACACCGCCTTCGACATGGCMAACAACCGCGTGGGCTTCGCGCTGTCGGTCTAGAGGAGCGGGGCGGTGAATTCCAGCCCTTCTCCCGGCCCGGCACGGCCGCGGCGTTCCCAGGGACATTTCCGCTCCTTCCCGTGCCCGCACGAGTCCCCGTCCCTCGGGATTTCTGTGTCGGTGCRTCCTCACCGCCTCCCGTAACCAATAAACCGCAACATCCCAAACGGTCTCTGAGCTCCTGGGTTTGTTGGGAGCGGCCCGAGGGGTCCCTGAGTGGCTCGGAGTGCCTTTCCTCCAGCGAGGTAAGTGCTGGGAGAAAATCCGGAGCCGGGGATAAATTGCAGCGCTGGGATGAAGCCCTGGGGCTGGGCAGTGCCCGCCTCAAACCATCGGGAAAAAAAACCTCAGTGGGGAAGCCCMTGACCTTCCCTGCAGCTGGAAAAGGGTTGGAAAAGCCCCGTGGTTTATCCAAGCAGGAATCTGAGGTGAGTCCCGACCCCTAAACCCTGAAGCGGGGCTGCTCAGCCAGGGAAAACCGCGCTGGAATATCGGGAATTGGGAACGAAGGGAACGGGGAACACCCTGGGCGGGGGGAGTTTGGGTGACCCCGCTCTTTCCCGGGATCCAGACTCGTTTCTCGGGAATTCTTCATGGCAGGAATTCTTCATGCATTCCTCAGCCGCGCTCGCAGCTCTGTCACTTCCCGGTAAAGGACCCGGAGCGCTCCGGGCTCGGTGTCGAAATATTGACACGGGTTAAGCGCTGAGACACGGATTAAAGTGGGAAGGGCATTCCTCCTCTTCCTTCTCCTCCTTCTCCTCCTGCTGCTGCTCGTTCTGCTCCTCCTGTTCCCTCTGGAATGGGAAATTTCTGCTGCAAATGGRGCTCTGGTGGCCGGAGGGGACAGGCAAAGGCTGACCACGTCCCTGCCGGTCTTTTTTGTCCCCTTTGCTGTCCCGCAGGATCTGTCCAGGCCAAGTCAGACCCACGAGAAGAAGAGAAACCGTTCCCGCTGAGGACTCCCAGCATCATTCCATCCCCAAAAACGAGGGTGGAAGCAGCCAGGCTGCGCTGCCAGCAGGTCTGMAGCACCTGGAACGCTCCTGCCCATTCCCAGCACTCCAGCAGCAGGAATTTCCATTTGCTGTAAAGGGTGTGTGGTTTGCCTTTGTTTTTTTTCCGGAAAGCTCGGAGCTGGGGCTGAAGGCGGGAGAAAAAAATCGCCTCGAACGCGGTGATAACGAGAGAATTTCGCTTTTTATCAGATGTCCCGTATTTGGCCTCGGTATCAGAGGCGCTGCCCGGAGCGCTGGGGAAGGAGGGAAATCAGGGTGGATGCGGTGACAAAGTCCGGGCGATGTGGTGACAAAGTCGCGGCGAGGCGGTGACAAACTCCCCGCGAATTGGTGACAAAGTCCGGGCGATGTGGTGACAAAGTCCCGGCGAGGCGGTGACAAACGACCGCTGGGGAAGGAGGGAAATCGGGGCGGATGCGGTGACAAACTCCGGCCCATGTGGTGACAAACTCTCCGCGACGCGGTGACAAAGCCAGCGCTGCTGGAGGTGGGAGCGGAGATCGAGGGAAGGAACGCGGAGATCGAGGGAAGGAGCGCGGAGATCGAGGGAAGGAGGGCGGAGCACGGCTCTGGCTGTCCCCACGTTGTCCCCACGCTGTCCCCACGCTGTCCCCATGCTGTCCCAGCCCCGGAGGTGCCACCGAGCCGCTGCCACCCGCGGGGCCATGTGGCGGCTGGCGCTGGCCCTGCTGTGCCTCCCGCTCGGGGAGGGGACGCTCAGGTGAGTCTGGGGGTGCGGATCTGGGGTYTGGCGCGGCTAGGGGGAGGGGACACCTGGATGTCGCCGCTCTGTCACCTCGCAGGGTCCCCCTGAGGAGGGGCCGATCCGTGCGGGAGGTGATGAGGGACAAGGGRCTGCCGGAGGAGTTCCTGGACAACCCGCGAGGGGACCCGGGRAGGAAATACCTGCTCGGCGGGGCCGCGGCTTACGAACCTCTGCTGAACCACCTGGATGTGAGTGACGGAGCTTTGCCTTCCACCTCGGCTTTTTGGGGTTCCCTGCTTTCCTGGCTGCAGTTCAGGGGCTGAGCAGGGCTTGGAAAGGGGTTTTTTTTTGGGTCTTTTTTGGGGTTTCCGGCTTTCCTGGCTGCAGTTCAGGGGCTGAGCAGAGCTTGGAAAGGGTTTTTTTTTTTGTTTTTTTGGGGGTTTAGTCAGGCTCCGAGAGCTGGGTGGTGTTGAGAGGGCAGGAGGCACTAACTGGAGTTGGAAAAGGGAAATCCTTTTCCAAAAAAGCARAGTTGGTGGTTTCAGGGCAGATCCACCACTCCTGGCCCTGTTGCTCTGTGTCC